TGCAGTTGAAACGTGGACCCTTAAAACATCAACCGTAAATAAATTGGAGGCCTTTGAAATGTGGATCTACCGGAGAATACTAAAAATTTCATGGACATCGCATACCTCAAACGAAGAAGTGCTGCATAGAATAGGCAAGGAAAGAGAACTTTTTAACACAGTAAAAGTAAGAAAAACATCATACCTAGGCCACATACTGAGAAATCATAAGTACCAATATGCCCAACTTATAGTGAAAGGAAAAATCGAGGGAAAGAGAGGCCTAGGAAGGAAAAGACTATCATGGCTCAGAAACATCCGACAATGGACAGGGCTAAATTTTGAACAGCTAATAAGAACAGCTGAAGATAGAGAAGAGTTTAAAATTGTAGTAGCCAACCTCCATTGAGGAGAGGGCACTTTAAGAAGAAGAAGAACTTGTGGGATGGGATTTCCAAAGAATCTATTTCAATAAACCACAAACTTACCTTTTATACTAAAATATTAATTGAAATAGCCTTACAATGTATCCAACAAGAATGAAATAATTTCAAAGAATTGAATTTACTTCTGTTTTTTTTAAGAATTCTTGGAAGTGTGTCTGAGCTCTACGATATTTCATTCTACGACAACTGATGTCGTGTTTCAGTTAAAACAACTAAAATGATAAAAATTTAAATTGAAAAATGAAAAATTTCAATTTATTTAATTCCGAATGAAATATTAGAAAACAATAACATCAAGGAAAGGGGTTCAATGGAGTAGTGATGCGCAATATAAGATGTTGCTTCCTGATAACACTTCTAGAAATTCCTACTCAATTCCTATCCTCACCTCCAAGAAGTGTGACTTAATTACTTGGGTGAACCCTGGCAAACCTGAGGAACCTTACCGGAGATTGGGTAACCAACCCCATTGGAAAGTAGGGTGAGGGCCGACGAGGAAGGGAGAAAGGGTCCTTCGAAAAGGGGGTTAGGCATAGGGCTAACAACCCTATCCTAGAAAACACACATGTTACAAATGTTCAAGGAAAGAAAACCGAACTGTTCAAACGACGACAACGACTGTGCGAGAAAAAGGTACATAATTTAAGAATCGCGACATGGAACATCCGATTCCTATACAGATCGGGAGCCCTACAAAATCTGCTCGGTGAACTGAATAAATATGACATATATATATATATATATATATATATATATATATATATATATATATATATATATATTATATATATATATATATATATATATATATATATATATCAGCTCTGCAGGAAATGAGAAAGGAAGTGGCATCATTGACAAAAGACACCATATTATATTCTATAGTTGCGACGCTAAAGACCACGCACTTTATAGGTATTAGCTTCATTGTAAATAGAAATGTTAACCATCTCGTAAGAGACTTTCGTGCATTGAACTCTAGGGTGCATCCTGAGACTAAGGGTAACATTTTTTAATTATGGCATCTTAAATGTGCATGCTCCTACAGAGGAAAAGGAAGACGATGTCAAAGAAAAATTCTATGAAGAACTAGAAGCTGCATACCATTCATGTCCAAAGAATGACATCAAAATTATTTATGGTGGTCTCAACGCAAAAATATACAACGTATGCAGCAAAAGAGGGGTAAATGCAGACTCGGATCACTACTTAGTGGAAAATAGAATTAGAGCCAGAATCTCAAACACTAAAAAAGAAAAGGAATCCAAAATTGAAAAATATGAAATAAAAAACTTAGCAGACAACAGCAAAAAGTTAAAAACACAAAGAATATATAAAAGGCTAGAAAACAGACAAAAGCACGAGGATATAAACAGAGAATGGGAAACGTGTAAAAACATCATACAAGACGCGGCCAAAGAGACCTTGGGTCTACAAAAAAAAGCCCAAATCAATTGAAGGACAGTGGTTCGATGAAGAGTGTAACATAACAGAGAGGAAAAATAATGCGTATCAACGACTACAACAACGACATAGAACAGGAAAGACAGAAAAAGAATATATAATGCTAAGGAGGGAAGAGAAGAAAATACATCGCACAATAGAAAAGAGAACAAATAGAAAAAGAACTCCAAGAAATTGAAGAACTAAATAAACCCTCAGAAACCAGAAAATTCTACCAAAAACTTAACAAAAGCAGAAAAGAATTTAAACCAAGAACAATGATGTGTAGAGACAAAGAAGGAGATGTGTAAAGGAATCGAAAGAAAGATCCACGATATAAAGGAATTATACTGGATCAAACGGATACCAGAGAAACAACCCCCTTTTCAGTAGCTGAAATGCAAGAAGCAGTTACCGGACTGAAAAACAAGTCTCCTGGATTAGACAACATTACCACAGAATTAATAAAGGAAAGTGGAGACTCCCTATTGAATGCGATACACGAACTAATAGTGAACATATGAAATAATAAACAACTGTCACAAGACTGGAATACCGGAGTAATTATCCCACTACATATAAAGGGAGATCAGCTTCAATGTAAAAACTACCGGGCAATAACTAAACTGACTGTGGCATATAAAATACTGTCAAATATTGTGGACCGATTGATATTGACATGCGGAACAAATAGTTGGGAGATATCAATGTGGTTTTCGCAGTCAGAAGTACACAATAATTCAGATCTTCATCTTGAGGCAAATCTTGGAAAGGACTAATGAATTTAATATAGACACACATAATCTTTTCATTGGCTTTGAGAGAGATTCATGCACTGAAAGAGTTTAATATTTCAACTCAACTCATTGATATAGTAAAAGAAACACTTAAAGTACAAAGCAAAATTCGAATTGACTACAATAAAATGGTCTGTCCATCCACTGTCTAATATATTGTTAGTCTTTTCTCACATTCATACTTTATGTCAACTTCAATTGCTCTCAAACTAACATCCTAATTATTATAGACAGGTTTGAGTGTGAGATTGGGATTATTCAATCTACATAAAAAATATACTATATAATTTTATATTTCATCAGTTGATTTCCTATAGTGGTGTCAGTTGGACCTTTGGTCAATACTTAGTGTCATAGAATTTTGAAAGGTGCAGATCACATAACTGCCCTTCACAAGCTGTCATTTGTCACATGTCATCTCTATATTTCCGTCAGACCGGGAGCCCATTCTGTCTCCGGCTTCTATACAACATGTAGCTTCTCCTTAAAAATTTTAAAGTGTTTGTTTGTCTTAGTGTATTGTATTTTGTATTGTTATGTCCAAATTTTACATTTATGACATTCTACTATGTCGGATAGGCCACAACTGACGAAGTAAGTCTATAAACGTTTATCACATATAAAATTTTTTTCAACCATAAACTTGGAGTTTTTTATCCAAGTGAATTAATTTTCCTTTTTATAAAAAAAACGTTTCTTGGCTTATTTCAGATGCCCCTGAAGATGATCTATTGATCGAAAGTACTTGGGCAAGATTAAATTAATCACCGCGTTCGATAGTTGCCTTGTATACCCTCAAAGTTTAATTATTCGAACATTCAACCTTATATTGAATAAAACTTATAATGGACTGATTAAACATCTAAGATCTAATAAGATCACAAGAAAAACCAAATGCAAAATATACAAGACTCTGATAAAACCGGCCTTTGTATATAGGTCAGAGACATGGACACTGTCGAAAAGCGATGAGAACCTATTGGGTACATTTGAACGAAAAATCCTTAGACACATATATAAGGGGGTAAAAGAAAATGACATATGGCACAGAAGTTATAACTTTGAACTATACACAGCATGCAATGAACCCGAGATCGTAACATCCATAAAGATCGAACATCTGCTCTGGATGGGCCACGTTGAACGGATGTTGGAGACTAAAACGCCAAAACATATAATGAGGCAAACACCTTTAGGGGAAAGGTCAAAGGGAAGACCCAAACTTAGATAGATGAAACAAGTGGAACAAGATCTAAATACACTTAAGATTACCAAGTGGAAAAACAAAGCAGGGAACAAAACAGAATGGCGGAAAATCCTAGAACAAGCCAGGACCCAAAAAGGGTTGTCGAGCTACTGATGATGATGATGATGATGAACATCGAGGAAAACTGGGAAAACTCAAAAATAACTACAATAAGCGGAATGGAATTATAACTTTAGCAGAAGAACAAGGTTTTAGGTCGGGAAGATTTTTTTGCAGGCTATTTGTCACTAACTATGAATTATGAAGCCAATAAAAAAGCATGGATGACAGCGGAACTTTAAAAAAATTGCTGATTAATATAGATTAGCAAATGGTACCTTTAAATAGAAAAATTCTTCTGTTCTTCGACAACTACACAGCTCACGTTGGTATATGTACCAGCATTGAAGGTTGTTACAAAAAATAGAGCAAAATACCGTTTTTCTCATCAACGTTCTTCAAGAAATGAGGATGGTGGACAAAGCTTGGCGAAATGTGTCATCCCTTGCACTAAAAAACAGCTTTTAACCTGTGGTTTTCCTTGAAAATATAAAGAGATCATTGAAGATGAAGGCAATAAAACGCCTGATGAATGGAATAAGCACATATCTGAATCAAACATTACTTTTGAAGACTTCGTTACTTGCGATGATGAATTAGTCACAGCAGGTAATATACGAAGATATTGGAATCAGTAACAGTATTAAAAGTGATAAAGAAGATAAGTTTGACAACGAGCTACAACTTCCATCTACGAGCGTATCGATCAACGAAGTAGGAAACGCTATAATGACTGTATGATTATTTATACGGCAATGTAGCAACGTCAAATTGTGTTCTCTCTGTGTATCATTGAAAATCAAATTGATTTAGGAACTGAAAACTGTTTAAAACAAAAAGAAACTTTTTTTAATTGGTTAATTTTTATGCAACATGTGTATATTTTATTTAACCACACCTTCTGGCGCATTCGATTAAAAAATAGGAACTAAGCTCACACATCCGCCTCCCCCTTACATAAAAAAACCCTTAGCAAATTAAAAACTCTACAACTTAAAGTATTTTAGCTTTCCCTTGGTCTTTAACTTATCAAGGTTCTAATGTATTTTTAATAGCGTCTGTACTTTTTATCAAAGTTATACTGAAAACGGAATTAGAAGTAATCAAGTTGAAGCAAGATTTAAAGTAAAACGTTTCTGATATTAGCAGAATCAAAACTATTTTTCGAGCTTTAATCGCATAAAAACTTTTAGAAACGTGTGAGGTAACCGTCAGACTGATCTAGTTACGTTATCAATAAACAAAAACTTGATACATAATGAGATAAATAATAAATAGTTTCGATAAACAGAATATGGAAAAAATTATACCTCTAAAAAGTCGTACAGCCGATTTTGTGTTTAAAAAATTATTGTTTCATTATATAAACGCAAGACAAGTACAACAACCCTCTACAAAAACGTCTTTCGGTTCTGGAAACTATAATATCATAATAGATCGCTTTGGATCATCGTGTCAAATCTTCAAATGCGTGAATTCCTGTCAAATTTTCAAATGCGTGACATGTTTTTGAACAGAGTTTGCGCAGCTCTTAATTCAAATACCACTAGTCGCCACTGGACAAAATATTTAAATCTGATTTTATAGATACAAGGGTCTACAAGAAGATGTATAAAACAGTAAGCTTGTTTATAAATTTAGTTAATATAATTATGACTTACCTTCTAGGACTAGTAGTTTGAGTTTCAGGTTCTTGAGGCGTATGTGTAGTCGCCACTGGAGTACTTGGAGAAGTCGAATCGATGGTAGATGGCAAACTGGTCTCACTAGAGGACACACTTCTCGGTCGCCTGGACCTGGAGGACGCCGAACTACTACGCGCCCGTCCGCTTGGCTCATGAGATACCGCACTGTGTTCAGATTCGCGCGATCTAGACCTCGAAGGCCTGGCAGAACTTTGCACAACGCTAGCAGGAATTCTCGACGGTGCACTAACGGGCCGCCCGGATGTGTGTACCGTGACGTCTTCTACTGGAGCAACAGCGTCTGACAGTTCCCCACCTGGGGCAACGTTGCCGTTGGGTAGTGGCAGGTGTCGCAATCTGCGCATCGAACTACGCAACCACGTGCTCTTGTTAGCGTCTTCTTTGGGTTCTTCGTCCATGGTGGGTGCCGAAGAACTGCTCGGGGCTACCGTAATGCGGGGCGCCTCCAAGACGACGGTTCCGGTACAGCAGTCTGCTGCCGCGTGTGCGCGCCGCTCTAGTGTGATGTCTCTAGCGACGTCCTGCACCCAACTCCAGTCGATGTCTTCGTCCGAGTCGGCAGCTGGACGGGGCTTCCGGCTTTTCGGGGAACACCTGGGGAAGGACGTGTCGTGATATTAAACACGTGTTGTATGAAAACAATGACAATAGTAATGCAATCAGTGTCGGACTACAATAAAATTATAAAAGGGGCTATGGGTATATTTTAAATTTATTTTTCTTTCAAATTTGTTATTAATAAATAAAATGTCAAATATTTTATTAATAATTTTGCAGTCTGTTTTATAGACTGGCAATACCAAAATTTCTGGTTTTATTCAATTAGAAAACAAAGTGAGTCTGATTGCAAATCTGAAAATTTACTTTCTGGTGTCTTTTGGCACCTCCACCTACAGAAGGGATGGATGAACAATTTTCCTTGTAAACCAAAAGCCACCACTTCTTAAACTGAAAAAAGTCTGAAAAATTTCTTTCGTCTTGTGAAATTAATTATCTTTTTTTTGTATTGCATGGGTTCGTAAATCCAATCATATTTTGTAATAATTCCTTTTATCGCGGCAAAAGTTTTGTATTAGTTGAACATAATAATCACGCTGAAACGTCTCTACTAAAGAAGGCAGAAATATTATCAATGCATTATTTCGTTTTTGATGATCGGCACGGCTGTCAGAGAAAAGATGAACATGCTTTATCTAGCCAGGTATAATGTAGTCAGTGCTAATGTAGTAATTAATTCATAGTAGGTATAACAGTTACCTACGTTTGTTGTCATATTGCCCGCTTCAAAGACATTGTTGGCGCAAGTAGAAGACTCTTTTGAATAGGTATATTTAGCAATTTAGGATTTTGCATTTAGCTAAAAGAGTAATACTGCAAATACTGATACTCCAGTTGTTAGAGACTAAACTGCCACTGAACCTCTAAAAATCATACGAATAAGCTGAATTATGCTCAAACAATAAGTGCAAAACCACTTTTACCCCTGGCTTAACCCTAACGTGGTAAACTTTGTTGTCTCTTTTTTGGGGTCCTACTTTTATTTATTTATCGTATGGCAATTACAACACATTTAGAGCAAAATTACAAACACTAGTAATATAGGTATATGACAAACTTTAAGTAGTTACAAATAAACATCAAGTATATTAATATAATCAATTGACTCTGAAGTTGCAAACAGAAGGTCTTCAGGACTACCATTGTAGGATCTTGAGGGACACTCTTCAATAATGTGGTCGATGGTTTGGTTCTCCCCACAGTCACATTGAGGAGACGGGTTCTTTACCCATTTATTTAGCATGTATGCACATCTGCCATGTTTGGTTCAGATCCTATTTAGAGTGGACCATGTTTTGCGTAGAAGATCAAAACCTGGTGGCTTGTGGGTAATGCAGGGCATGTTATTTTGGGATGCGTTCCATTGGGACCATGAATTCGTAATGTTGAACTCCTCATGTATAATTCTTGCCGTTTTCATTGGTGGTTTTCTAGAACGGAGACGGGTATTTCGTGTATTCTCGGTATCTTGGTGGATCGGCAGGTTTATATTGTTCATGATCTTTTTGTATTCACGTGTAAGTGCGTCAACTCGTTGTAAATATGGAGGTGGGATGTGACTTAATATTCTAAGCCATTGGGTGTGAGTTGAGTTAATTGTACCAGCTATCATCCACATAGTGTTATGCAGCTGAGTGTCCATCTTTTTTACTTGTGGACTGTGTAGCCAAACTGGAGCACAATATTCAGCAGAAAACAAGAGCTAAGGCAATAGAGCGGAAAGTGGAAGCTCACCTGAGGAATGCTCCTCAGAGCTTCTGTATAATGGTATTTCTTGTACTCAACTTGGGCAGTTTTTGTGAAATGCTCTTTAAATTATAACGTTCTGTCTAGTGTTACTTCCAGGTACTTCGTGGGTAAGTGTGGTATTTTCAAATCGTATGTTGAGTTCCTTTCCAGCAAGTTTATTGTTCAGGTGAAAGCAACTAACTTCTGTTTTGGGTGCATTTGGTTGAAGTCTGCCGTCAGAACTTCTTCAGACGTTTTTATTGTTCTGCATCGTGTAGTGAGGGTCCAGTCATCGGCGTATCCGAACTTTCTTGGTTGTGTTTCCGGCATATCTGCTAAGTATAAGCTAAATAGTAGTGGAGAGAGCACTGATCTCTGTGGTAGGCCATTCTTAAGTTTCTTTGGTGAGCTGATATCTGTGCCCATCACTACTTGAAACATTCGGTCGTTGAGCATGCTATCTATTGTGCGTACTAATGGTTTACAGGGGATTGGTCGGAGAATTTTGTATATAAGGCACTCTCTCCATACTGTATCGTAAGCTGCGGAGAGATCAATAAATGCCGCTGAAGTTTTATGTCTTCTTTGGAAACCCGCTTCGATGTAGGTGGTGAGTGACATTACCTGGTCCGCGCAGCTTCGTTCTGGTCGAAAACCCGCTTGTTCGACTGGGATCACCTAGAACAGTTCTGTACTGATTATATTCTATATGATCCTCTCTAATAGTTTGTAGATGGCAGAGAGAAGCGCAATTGGTCTGTAGTTTTTTAGGTTGTCAGCAGGTTTGCCTGGATTTAGTATGCCTATTATCTCAGAGCGCTTTAGTTCTTGTGGAATTTTTCCAGTTTGCATGATGTCTGTGAAAAATCGAGCCAGCTAAACTTTTGTATACTTGCCACAATTTATTAGGAATTCAGGGTAAATATTATCAACTCCTGGTGCTTTTGCTGGCTTAATGTCTTTAAGAGCCTCTGATATGTCTTCGCTGGTAAAGGAGGGGGGGAATGCTCCGTTTGTGTGGCTCCGTTTGTGTGTTTTAGAGTATTAAGTTCTCTCTTTACGTAGATGGTGTGTGCTTTATCCTTTGGTGCCCTGGATGTTTTTACTATATGTGATGCTACGGCATCTGGCTTCACGGCCGCCTCTCGGCGTTTCGTACGGACACCACCCCTAATTTTCTTAGTAATGACCGTGCCTGTCTACTTGGGGTCCTAAAATTGACATTTTTAAAAAAATTTAGCTTGTTCGTACAATTTTTAGGAGTCAAATCTCTGACGACTGAACTATGGTGCCCATTTTGTATATATGTTGTACATATACAACGTACTAAGAGACTACTCCCCAAATCGCGGTCTCTCCCTTTCACTCAAAGTACTTACTCCAGCGTTTTTGCAATAGTTTTGACACTTGGGTCGTTATTTTGACGTTAAACTGTTCGGGTACATGTAGATTAGGTGAGGTGCTGCTAAAATATTTTCAAGTAAAACTTGTATTTGATCAACTTATCTGGAAAAATAAAGAGAAAAGAAAAAATTGGATGAATGACAATATACTGCAACTCGTGGAAGAAGAAGAAGAAAATCAAAGAATAACAAAAGAATGTACAAAAATATTCAGAGACAAATAAGAACCGAAATACAAAATGCCAAATAAAATAGGTTAAAATCACAGTGTGAAGAGATAGAGTTGTTGGAACACAAACACGATACATTTAATATGCAGCTGGTCTTCAAAAATCCAACACAGCTAACAAACTGCAAGATCAACAGGGGTACATTATCACAGATAAAAATCATTAAATATGCATATATACAAGAACTCTTTGGTGATAATAGGTCCGAACAACCTTCGTTCTACATATGTAATGACCACTTACCACTCACATCAGATGAAGTGGCAACAGCAATATCACAACTAAAAGATGTTGATAAGTACTTAATGACTAACAACAATATTCAATGACATATTTAAACGGAGCAATACCAAGATCATGGCTGAAGTCAACCTTTATTGCTCTACCAAAGAAAACAAAAGAACCATCAGCTTAATGGACACATTTTAAAGTTTCTGAGGAAATCTTTCAAGAAGCAGTAGAAGTTTTGAAGTATACAGTTATGAAGCCCTCTAGGAGTTAATGAATTGAATCACAGAACTGAGTTTCACTGAACATGAAGAAAACAAAATGTATGATGACATCTAATAAGGAACAAGAATCAGTGTGAATGCTCAACCAACAGAAAGAATAAAAACATACACATACTTTGGTACCAACGTTAATGAAAATTGTAACCATTCCCTAGAAATAAAATCTAGGATAGAGAAAGCAAAATCCGCATTTCAAAAAACCCCTAAGCTATTCAAATGCCACGAATTATCAGTATCCATAAAAATCAGGTTACTACGATGTTATATATTTCCTACACTGTAGTACGAAGTTGAGTCGTGGACTCTCACAGACGCTACCTATAAGAAAATTGAGGGTTTCGAAAATAGTTGTTAACCACAATAAAAAGAGCCAAAATTGAATACCTCGGTCACATCATGATTAACAGCGAAAGATATGGGTTGCTGCAATTCATTCTCCAAGGAAAAGTAAAAGGAAAACGAGGACCAGGAATGCGAAGAATTTCCTGTAATATGAGGTAAAATCTGGTCTATATTATTTTCTTGACCGAAAATGTTGTTTCCTCATTTATCTATTGGAACTTTTCCTTCATTAAGAAGCTTGGAGATTATTCTTATGAGTTTATTGACAATACCATGCATATTGACGAAAGCTTGTTTGCAGACATGAATTTGTGCGGTATAAATTGTGACATAATATTTAATAGTATAATTCCGAGATTATGGTCTACCTTTCTTTGGTGATTTCACTCCGTCTTTGGAGAGCATGCCTCTGAAGTTCTCTAATATTTCAGTCCTGCTTCTCCTATGCGTTTTCCAAAGCATTTTGAACGACGTATTAATGAAAAGTAAGTAATTTGTATTATTTTATTTTGGAAAATACATAACCTTTACCACTTATTTGTAATCATCTTGTTTGCGTTGAGGAACCATGTTACCCTTGAGGGATACACAGCTCGTCTGGCTGGTCTTAAGATTTCTTAATACTTTCTACTTCGCTTTCATCACATACAGAACTTATTGCTGTAAAGTTAAAACAAAACAAAACCTCATTTTGAATTTGTACAAAACTGATAGACACAAATTCTGTGCAGAAACCACACAAGTCGACATGATTTTGTAGTTTCAGAATGGACCACCTATTATAACGAGTCGTTGTTTATTAGCAGAGGTTGTATCTCTTATGTGTGCTGTGTGGAATCTTCTTCTTCTATCTTTTTGTATGTACCATCTTTTACTTGGTCTGCCAATACTACTTCGTCCATTTGGTGACTTATCTCATGCTATTCATACTATCCTATCCTCTGCCATTCTACTAATGTGTTCGTTCCACTCCTGTTTCCGTGTTGTCACCCATCCATTTATGTCTTCTATATTGCTCTTCTTATGTTTTCGCTTCTTTCCCTATCCAACAGACTTTTTCCTAATATTCTTCGAAGTATTTTCATATGTGTTGTTTCTAGTAGTAGTCTCGTTTTAGATGTGTCAGGTCTTGTCTCCGCTGTGTATGTTAATATGGGCCTAATTGCTGCTTTATAGAATCTGTAACGTTTAAAACGTTACATTTTTGTTCTTATAAATTTCAAAGTACTTCCCACTATTTTCTGCTCATACTATTTGATTTTCATTGATAACAAGTTCTTTTCCCTTTGTTTGTATTCCTATATTTTATTTCAATATTTTCCTATTACAAATAAATCCGCTGATTAATTTCTTAAGTCCCCTCGTAGTCCTACCTTCGCTTACTTTATCGTACAAGAAACAGAAACCCCACTCCTAAATAATTTACTTCTATCAATCCGATCCGATTTAACTTCTTTTTAAAATAAACCAGCAAACGAGAAGGTATTATTAAAAAAATAAGTCTTCATGGTCAGAAACTTCCAACGGTCTGGGTAAGTTAATACTTTGCTCTTTTTACAACAACATATTTTCATACTTTAATCAAGAACACTTTTAGTTTTTCGTATAATTTTGTGTACGCTAGTACTTAAAAACTGCTTACAACTTTTATTTTCTTTTTACCTTTGCTGTAATAATAATAATTCAATATAAATCGTATTTATCGCACAACTTTGTCTTTTTCATTTTTCATTTAATAATTTATCTATTAATTACAATTATTAATTTGTGAGTTTTGGCAACATCAGAGAATTCTGGATCGGTATAAAGGTCTCAGAGAGAAGAGCTTTCCGCTTGCCAGAATTTTTCTGTTGTTGGACAAAACTCATGCCATGACGAGTTTTACAGCGGTTTTTGTTTTTCTAGCCACCTTGGTTTTTATTCAAGAGAATCCACCTTGATTTTTATTCAAGAAAATCCACCTTGATTATGATATAAGAAAATTTACGTTGACATGGATTTTTTGGTCGAAGAATACGAAAATGGAATTGTTTTTTTTTTTAATAAGAAATCCATATCGATTTTGAAAATCCGCATGGCTTTGGATTGGAGAGGGATCCACATGGTTTCGGCTTAGCGGCATGGTTTTTGCAGACATTGTATGGTCCGAGTTGAGAAGAGAACAGCAGGAGGATTTCTCATAGAGTAGAGCTAAGTTTCTTTATTTCTTGAGATCTTGTATATAGATGCTTAATTCCCTGTTGTTAGAACCTCAATTTAATTGTTATTACATTTTGATTTATTAAAATATAAATAAATAAAGACATGTGTTAAAGAAATTATTTTATTAATAATTCCCGATTTCTCAAATTAAATTAGTTTATGCCGAACATCACCCCTGAGGGGTTTCAATGTGCAATGGGTGAGCTAGCCGTTACAATTCTTGTTTTTGTGTCTTGCCTTAGGTGTTTGTTCTTCTAGATTGTGTCATTAAGAGATTCCGCCGCTTTAATTGCTTCCAAGCTTTTTTGTCGTACTTCTCTTTCAACATCTCCGTAACTAGTTACATATATTCCTAGATATCTAAACCTTTTTTCATGTTTTGGTATTTTCCCATCAATTTCGATTTTACACCGTAGTGGGTATTTAGATTTTGTCATACATTTGTTTTTTTCTGCTGATAGTATCTATCATATTGTATTTCTTGGCTGTTGTATTGAAGATGTGTGTTGGATGACATGGAGCTCGTCTTCTGTCTCGGCGATTAATGCGGCGTCGTCTACATAACATAATATTTGGATTTCTCTATTCCCCATTCTGTAACCATGACCCTTATGTACTGCTTGTATTATTTCGTCCATTATTATATTAAAGAGAAGTGGGCTTAATGAGCCACCCTGTCTGACTCCGCTTTGTACTGGTATACACTGTGTTAGTTTTCCATTTATTTTTGTTTGTATTCGATTATGGAAGTAGATGTTTTCGATCGTTTGTATAATATTGATTGAAAGCCTTTGTCAGGTCTATAAACTATAGATATGCTGGTTTATTGTACTCGATAGCCTTTTCTGTGATTTGTCTTAGTACACTTTTTGTTGGTTAGGACTTTTGTGGTATGTTTTGTGCGGTGGTCAGTAGATTTATACATCTATAATTTTTGAGGTCTTCGTTATCTCTTTCTTGAACATTGATATGATTATGCTGTTTCTCCATGCGCGTTATACTTTTTACTCCGTGTTTTAGAAGCTCATTGGTTATTCAGTCTGGTCCTGATGACTTTTTATTTCTAAGTGAGTTTATGAAGGTCTCTTCTTTCTGAAAACTGATTTCTATTTTGGGTCTTAATTCAGGTACGTTGTTGTGTTGATTATTATTTTCCTTTCCTTTAAACAGTTCCGTCAAGAATCTTTAACATTCGTTTGCCGGTATGTTATTGTATTCCTTTAATTCTGCCACTTCTTTCCGTTGGTTTCTTATGAATCTCCATATTTGTTTTTGTGTACCGTAGACGTGGCTTTCCATCCTTTTTGTAAACTGTTCCCAGTGTTAAGTTTTTGTTCTTCTTACCAACTGCTTTGTTTCATTTCGTATTCTTCTATAGGTGTCTCGAGATTCTGGAGTATTTGATGTTTTTGTACTTCGTGTCGACCTCTCGTTTCTCTTTACATTTCTCTTTTATTTCTGTGGGGAATGATTCGTTTAACTATAGAAATGGTATGTCTCAGAAAATCTTAATTTCCATAAAAACTAATTTGTATTGTTTTTGAAACGACCATTTGAGTTTGAAAACGGTTAGATAAATCTTTACAGAGACCAAAAACATTATTGGCCCCTAAATTGGCAGTTAACTCATAGTTATCACATAAACCTAGCATTAAAGACAATAGTGAAAGGCCAGTATTGGCGTAGATAACTGAAAACGGGACAATAATGAAAAAACAGCAACAAAATTGAAGTTTGAAGAAATGAGCTCAATATCTCAACTAAGCTAAAAAAATATTAGAAATATAGAGAAAACCGTAAAGAATATTTAGAAAGAATGTCACTCGAAAGGTACCTACAATTTAAAAACGAAACATTTCACCGAAATACTCTATTTTGATTTTAGCCTGCAGTTCTGTTTAAGGCCATACTTTACCGTCGATATTGAAAAACCAACCCTTAGATTAAAATTCTTCCTCAAAAGTTTATCATACAGGTCTCTAATATTATGTAATAAATCATGTATACACAAACATTATCTCATTTATACACAAACAGTTCCGACACTGAGAATCCAATTCTGCAATTATTTAATTACAAATAAAAATAGTTCAAGCATATCACTCACCTGGACGCTACAGCACCATCCATTGCTTCTGGTAACGATGGCCGTTTCCTGCGGACGACTGCCACGGTATTGCGAGCCGGGTGATTCCTGCTTTTTGCTTCGCTGACTGCACCACAGGCCGATAATGGCCGGCGTTCCCTCTCATTTGGTTCCGTTTCAACATATGCCTTATTTACGCACCCGGAAGCCAGGTATTTCCTATAGTTTTCCTCGATTTGACGCAGTTTGCACCTCAATTCTTCGTCCTGAAACCGATACAATCACACTAGAGATTTGGAACAGTATTAAAAAGATGCATTAAAAAATTAATATAGCAACATACAAAATAAATTTCATCAAAATGTTTTATGTAAAAATTTTCTTAATTTAATCAAAAATTTTCCAGGTAAATTATTTAAATTTACTAATAAAACACCCAGTGTATTGACAATTCTTACCTTATCAGATAAGTTTTTAGAAAAAGTACGTAAAATAAAACAGCTACATGCTTTTTGCTGTTTACAAACCACTAGAAATCAATTATTCCTTATATTTACCTTGCTCTCCTCATTGTCCTCCGATGGAATTTCTGTCTCAAGGCAATCAGTGACTATTGAACCCTCGGCGCTCTGTTGTTCATCGGTACAATTCGAAGATGCGCATTCGTCCTCGCTGGAGCTTCCCTCCAATGTCTTTAGATAGTTATCTAAATCCTCCAAACACTCTTCAATATCCTGTTGCACCTGCACAGAACTAGCATCACTGCTATCGTCATCCTGGAAAGTTGCATCGAGAACTTCGTCCAAGTTTTTCAATACATTCAAGGCTTCAATGTTGTCGCAGACTTCGATGAACTCGTCATTGTCGTCCAGTCCATCGACTTCATCATAATCATCGTCTATGTCTATCAAAATATCTTCTACATCAACGCTAGGCCTTCTCGACGATATCTTCGGCGTGGATAGTTGACTGGCCGTTTGTAGTTTTTCTTCTAAAACGGGTAGTTCTGTATCTAGAAGATTTTCTGATGCTTCTGAGCATTCTTCTGAAGTAGAGATGGGCAAGGCTCTCGGTAGAACTGGTGATCCAACATGTAAGTCGATTAGATCACCTTCATTTGTGCTTGTTTCTGTAGACATTGTAGCATCGTAGGGTTTCAAGTCGTCACCTGAAAAAAATAGAAATTTGATTATAATATGTTTCTTTATATTTGCTGTTCAAAAGTACAAATAAGATAAGAATATTCTTACGCATAAATTCAGTTGAAAACTAAAAATATAATAATGTATGCTACTAGCAGATGTTTTTTTATTTATTTACGAATACAACAAGAAAGTAAATAACAAAATATTCAAAGGAATGAATATATTCAAACCAGACATTGAATTCGACCTATAGTCAAAATTTTTGGACATATCGCTGTATCTTCATAGAAATGCCAGATGCCGAGATATTGATATACGAGTAATTTGGCATCTGAGTAACAACCTTAAATAGTGCGCATAATAAGAACATGATCTACAAGCGAGTAAAACCGCGGGTTTATGGTTCGTCGGTAAATCTCGCCCGTGTAACATTGTTATGCCGGGTCCAGACCAAGCAGACAAAACAAAAACATTCATGTTTCGCGACAAAGTGGCGACAAATCGAAAACATTTGTTGAGACATTTCTGAAACAATTTTGTTTTGTTTGCAGATTTGAAAACTTTTTCAGGTCCCGTCTCAGGTCGGTAAAGATCAAAAGGTCTGTGTTTTGTCTGTGTTTTTGACTACAAGTTGTCTACGCAGTGTGGACGCGTGTGCGTGCCAAAACAAGTTAAGCAGTAGGAGAAATAGAATGTACAATTTTTATCAAAATCAAGTGTATTTTTCTGTTGTGTAGTGATTAAATAAATACTAGTGTATTTTTCTAAACATGTCGGGGGACAAAAAGTGGAATACACAAAATACATGCAAGTTAATAGAACTTTACAGGGAGCATCCGTATTATGGGACCCTAAAAATAAAGATTATAAAAATCGCTACAAGAAAGCCGATGTATTAAAGTAAATTTCTTTATCGCTAAATGTGCCACTAAATGATGTTGAAAGGAAAATAAAGAATGTTAACAACCAGTATGCTAGAGAAAGACGACGTTTGGGTTTTCGTTTAGCAACCTGGGATGATGATAAGAGCAAAAAAAAAACAACTTGCGGCTCGCAATAAATCTTTAGTTTCATTTTTTTCTTGATTAAAACGCCACATGGTTAACCAACACTAATCACAACAACAACGTCACCAACTGAATTTTGTTTTTATATTTTGTTGTTCTGGTGTGGACAGTTTGTCTCAATTTTGTTTTGTCTTTTGACGACAAATTTTGTCGTCGGTTTATCGTGTTTTTGTTTCAGAATTGTGTTTTCGTTTTGTCTGCTTGGTCTGGACCCGGCATTATACCGCAGTTTTAAATACCATTGAGTCTGGCTCGCAGCTCGTTACGTTTGTCATATTTTTTATTTAGCTCGTCATGTAAAACCGAGTTTTTTATGCACTTTAAATAGCTCTACATGTCTCTGCAATGAGCCTTCCCAAAGTTTTCGTAGATGCTGCTTCCGTCGTAAAAGCAGACTAAACAAAGAGGCTGTCGTTCTCTTGATCGCTCGCGGCTGCTAATTCTTGTGAGTTGAGTGCGACGGCGCAGAAGAGGGAATGCTAAGGAGGGTGAGCTGACTGGGTCTGAACTTTGCTCATCGGGACCTATTTCCCTTCATCCACCTATCCCAAGTTCATCGCTCTTTGATGACTTGGGTCCTTGACATTTCACTTTGCTTCATTCTGTCTTGGGTGAAATGACTTTTATTTTTCCTATCAACCTCCCTTGGACAAACACTTTTTCTTCGACTTTTGGCCTTTTTGTTATATAGGACTCAGGGAAAACGGAGTTCTTCTTTTACACTAACACTAGGTTTCAATCAGTGTTACGGCGTTGCCGTGAATCAATGTCATAAAACGACCCATTGTTCAAAAGAGTAAACTTCGCTAAAAATCCGCAACCACACGGTGTCAGGGAATCCATAAGTGGTGAATGGCCCAGCATCAGACGGCCACTAACGAAGCTCTCGAAGAACTTGCGAACCTCCGCTGTAGTTTAAGCCTTAGCGTGAGTGAGGGCGCACTGCCTCGCTGGACAGTATAATTCGTCCCTACTCGTGAAAACTATATGGACAATAAATTAATCAGGCAGAAAAAAACAAAACGAAAGGACACTCGAGCAAATTGGAACAAGCGATGAATGCGACGATATGGTGTTCATCAGCGGTGAAGGGAACAAAGGAAAGTGCTCAGCGAAGAGAAAAAGAGGAAGGAGAAGATTATGATCTCCGGAAGAAGAGCATTTGTTGGAAGATCTCTGGTCAAGGGTAGGGATCTGACCAAGAGGGATCTTTTAGAGGAGCCAACCTTGCTAAGGAGCTCTTCACTTAGAGAGAAAAGACTTAGGGAGAAGAAGGAGAGCTCTGACATAACGGCCATGATAAGGGCAATGGAGAAACTTACCAGAATTACAGATAGATTACCAGTTTAATGTAAGTATGACTGTACAGTCACCAAACCGGGAAAAGGGGATTAAGCTGCAGGTAACTTAGTATAGGTCATGGAATGTTCGGTGAGGAGGAAAGGTTCCACGACCTGATAGGGAAAAAACCGGAACTGAGAGTACGTACAGGAGGTACATATAGACCAAGATAAGTTGAGTTCCTTTAGCTTAACACTATGAGTACAATTATAAAGAAGAATCAGGAGGAGGAGAATTAAGGAAGCCGTCAGATCATTTTTATGGTTGCTGTGGAAGAAGGGGGAACGGAAATGGACTGGGACCTAAGATTTCTGGCAATTATGTCTAAGTTGAAGGAAGATAAATATTGTAGGGACCAGAGAGAGGCAACCGTAAGAGTAGTGGGGAGCTACCGAGGCAGAAACATCAGGAAGCTCCTTGAAGTCACCTATAGGCGTATGGATTTTTAACTGCAGGTTGATTTCTCGATTTTAAGCTACTGGCATCATTGCTATTAAAAATTCTGTTACATAAATTAATATATATTATCAAATGAAAGAAGTCTTGTAATATGAGAGTAAATAACTTTTCAATCTACTAAAACACGACATACCGCATTACCCTTGACCTTGGATAGGTAAAAAACAAACGAAATTCTCTTTATAAATTAACTAATATTGACTTTTTAAGTTGTCCCGTTGAATATTTAGTTCATTAATTAGAGGTGATCTCGCGAAGGAAAAAATAGTCACGCGACCATATTTACTTTTTATATATACCAACAGTTTCATGTGTATTCGTTATTTCCTAAACATAATTAGCATTTTATCAAGTAAATCAGTACGCCAAGACCTTGCTTGTTTTCTTGCTAGAATTAGATGCAGGTAAAAAATTCAGAATAAAAACAAAGAAATAATATATATATATATATATATATATATATATATATATATATATATATATATATATATATATATATATATTGGATTTGAAATTTCCGCGGGAACTATATGTGATTTCAGTTGTTTTCCGGGTTTGACTCCACGTTAAGTAATTTTGTTTTTATAAAAACCATTGTTTTGACGACGTTTCGGCAAGGTCACACTTGCCATTGTCAAGTCAGATTAGTTCTGCTTCGTCTTGATGTTTCAGGAGAACTGATTTCTCGGTCGCTGCTCGCTACTATTTAAACTTAGCGCACACTGCTGGACTCATCTTTTTGTAGATTTTGAAGTATATTTGAACAATTGACGTACCAATCTCCACAACACGACGGACTACGAAATGTTGCTGAATTTGCGTTTTTGTTAAATCTCCCGCAAAGTTTTCGTTTTTTCCATGCTCACAACTTCTTTGACTTTTTGTAGTCTTAATACTTTTTTCAGTTGTGCACTTTGTATGCTATCTGCACTGTTTGCTCTGCATTTTACTAATACATTTTATTAATACCTAAAATTTAGCGTTAAAAGAATTCGTCAAATAATTAATCGTAATTATAATAATCCTTGTGTAAATACATATACTATGTGAAACCGGCCATTGGTGGTAGAATCAATTGATTGTGAGTAAGTCTTATTCTTATTTTTTTTTACGTATTTGAAATGGACTCTCACAGACAACATATTCAAGATTTAAAAACAATTTAACAACATCGTTTTCTGCCCTTTACAAAATGTGTAAAAGTTTACACCTTCTACCAAAAGCTTGATATCGCTTGAATGCATTAAAACCAGTACCTATATGGCGTAGGACCACAATTCGTCAATCTCTCGTATTTTAATTGGTAGTCAACATTGTGTTAAGAAGTCATTTCGGCCTCCCATGGTGTGGGGGTTTAACAAAATAATGTACTATTACGAATTAATAGTACTAAGATTAATACCAGCTATTCCTTCGATAGCTCTGGCAAGATAAATGAACTTTCACTCATAGGTGCAAATAACAAATAATATAAAATTTAAATGGTTGCAAAAACAATCAAAAAACAAACAAAGGTATTAAACTAGGTGAACTTACCGAACCGCTAATTAGGTACCATAATTCACTACTATAAAACCAACCGATTTCGATGCATCGACGCACTCGCGAGGGTTGTGTCTTGCGTCTATTCTGCTCAACGACTTAAGCGCTTGTGTCCTACGGGATGCATAGCATACCCGAACGGTACGAATAGGGATCGAAGGTATACAGGGGGAGGACAAAATGTCTTGATTAATTTATACAACCATATTTGAATTTAAACATTCTCCCCCCTTTAAAGGCCATAAGGTCTTTAAAAAACAAAACGAATTCTAAATACTATCATTACTTAAACAATCAAAACGATAATTACTACAAACAATTCCTATACAAATATTAAACAAATATTCAAAACTTAAACTAAAAAATAAAAAAATTAAAATTAAAATGGTGGTTTTGTCGTGGTTCTATTCATAAAAGCCGAACAAAACAAAATCAGTAAAAAAAAAATGCTGACCATTTAATCTTCATCTATCGGCACGGGACAGATTCGGACAAGAGGCCGTTTTAAGGTTCCGGTAATCGTACGCACGGTAGCCACTCGAGCTACACCGTCTTTACCCTCATGTAATTCAACAAGACGCGCGAGAGGCCACTTAAACGGAGCCAAATTATCC